CATGCGAAACATTTTGTTTCTCTTAATTACTCAGTCTATTATAATATTTAACTTAAAACTTTAGGGCCACAAATAGAACGACAACGAAAAGAAATTACGAGTACGAAATATTACATTTAAATACTTTGAAGTGATTACATGTAAAAAAATGTTCAAAGTGGCCATCATTAATATTTACACACAAGCGGCATCTTTTCGCGATAGAATTTACAGCATTCTGTACCATCTAAAATGCGAAAGGCATTTACCACCGGATCATGTAGTCTTTTACAGCATAAGTTCGCTGATAAATGAAACCCGTTTAGAACACCGAAAAGGAAAAATTTAAAATTGAAAGATCTGGCGATCTTGGTCGACAAAGGGCCGACCCGTTCCTACCTATCCATAACTTTGGAAATAGTTGGTTTAAGTGCTCTCGAACTTACAGTTGGTTGTGCAGCGGGGCACCGTTGTGGTGAAACCTACATGTCTTGAAATTCATTTGGTAGCAAACGAAGATAACAATGGCTTGTCCAATTCTCATCGTAAATTATATGTCCAAGAATTCGTGATCCAATAATTCCGAACCAAAGTTTAAATCCAAGTTTTCTTTGAGGTCGTCAATAATAAACAGCAGTATTTTGTTTATTTATTGTTTTCCATGGCATGATACTATCTACTTTTAATAGTGTATTGAATATAATTGTTAATTTAACTTACATAGTGAATTTTCGAAAATGGCCTTTAAATATGTTAAATGTGCCACAGTTACACTATTACCTATCTCACTAGATGTTGTTTTCCATGGCAAACTCTGTTTATTTACCTCTCAATAATACTTACGAAAATTCCTGCAGCGCGTTTATTTATTAAAGTACATTTAGTAAGCCTTATATCGTTATGTCTAAAACTTTTATTCGGGTCATTTTGATGTATTTCTAATAATAATGATTCTACAACAGTTAAATGAAAAATCATTAAATCGGTTTTTCGTTCATATCAAGTAAACTGTTGATTTTTTTAAAAAAACAAAAGCATATCTTAAATAAGCTCTTAAAACGACAACTCTTTTCATTTAACCGAATCTGTATGTCTTATGGTTTCCGAGATCCCAATGTTTAAAAAAATGTGATATACGATTCAGATCAGAAAATACCTGAATTCTTGCAGTATTACGAATTTTGGATAAAGTGTATTACAAATACATTGAAATTTGTTCTATGATCTTTTAGATTTGTATAAAAAATGTGACATGAGAATGTTTATCTTGCATTTTAACTTATTGTAGCGCTTATGAATATAATTATTCAGCCCTGTGATGTATCAGAATCGTTAAACTTAACGTGCAGGTTATCTGTCAAAAATGTCATTGCGCCTATTAGTCCAGTAACCTTGTTCCGGAAAAGGAGAGGTACCAGGCGTGAAATCCGGTAATTCTGATTTTTTGTGGGTGTTTATGTTGTTAACCCAACTGTTCAATAAGTTTTCAATGCAGACCAAATTTGCTATAATTTAAGGCCAAATCCGTTTATATAGATCTAATAGATTCTGAGATAATGCTTTTCAAAGAATTGTCAATTTTTCGAATTCGAAAGTCTTTCGCAATATTTTGTGGGTGCCGTTTCTATTCTGTTTTAGACTGATGCCAAGAACACCAAATTTGTAGTAGTCGATATAGGTTTTCTTCTTCACAAAGTTGTGTGGTCTCGAAAATTATCATTTGGTTCGATAGCTGACAGGTAGATACACTCGCAGTACATCACAGCTCAATATAGCTCCAATGTGGCAGTAGTTTTCGATAGATATCCAACGGCTATTGGAAAAAAAGGTACGAAGAGCTTTAAGCGTGTTCGCAGAGCCAAGTCATATTCATCTCCGGAAATAATCTTTGATGAAAAAACCATACCTCCGGTTTCTCAAGAAAATTTCTTGTCAAACGACAAAAACAAAATTCGATTCATCAACTTGCTAAAAACAAAAGTGGGAAACCACGGCATCCGAGTACTGCAGGCAGAGGAAGATGCTGACAGGCTCATTATCACTACAGCTATCACTGCTGCTTCTTCTTATGATGTAGTGTTGGTCACTGGTGAGGACATCGACTTGTTGGTAATCCTCACTGGAATCTCACACCAACGTAATCTTTTCAAGCATCACCTCCTCAAAATGCACATCAAAAGCGGAGCTTTTTTATTCATTCATGCATTCAGTGGACGTGATTCGACATCCTGCTTTTTCGGCCAGGGGAAAATGAAAATAGTGTCCACTATACAAAAGAATCCGGACCTCGAAAGGAAGACTGCAGTTTTTCGCAACACCACTTCTACACCTGATGAGATAGTAGAAGCAGGGGAGCGGATAACCGTAGCTTTGTATGGTGGCAACCCCGACTCCCAGAACCGGGAAGAGCTCTTAAAGGCTGCAGCGAAAACGAGCTTTAATGTCGTCAGGTTGGCTATCACACGAGATGCCACTAGACTCCACTCCTTGCGCACTTACCATCAGGTATAACATGCCACGAAAGATTGCCGGTCACAGCACACCTTGTGTCGATCTACAATCTATGTTTTTTCTTAACATGCGAGCGATTTCCGGAATAGGATCGTGCCAATGTTGAACGAAAAGTCTTTTTGTTCAACATTGACACGATAGAGAAGTCGCTCACATCTTTAGAAAAACATAGATTGTAGAGCGGGATCAAGAGTTCTGGGACCGACAATCTTTCCTGGCGAGAGGTTTACCTATCAACTGTCCTTATATATTTATGTACATAAACTCATAAATTTCTTTCTTGATGCATAAATAAGGTTTTAAAGTATGAATTTTGAATACTAAGAAAATTGAGTTTAATTCAAAAATCATATTTTAAAAAATAAAGTTCAATCCTGATACAGGTGCAGAATTGGTTTGGATCCGAACTGAATCTCTTACCTGGGGTAGATCTCCACCACACATCGCCTCGTCCCCAAAATGATTTCGTACGGTTGCAAGAAGGGTTGTGGGAACGCGTGAAGCTGCAGGAAGGCCACAACCACTGCAGCGGGGTATCGTGCGATAATGTGCCAGATATTGACCTTGAGATAGATCGCATCACCAGAAAGCGATGATCTGTCTGATCTAGAAATGGTGGAGGATGTATTGTGGAGAGACTTTACACAAGACATTGACAATCCAGCCACAAACCTTTCAAGTGAGGAAATCGACGATGCTCAACCGGGTCCGTCCGAGAAGGGAAAACTTTGAAAAGAATTATCTTGGAAACTATTAAGTCTATAGAAACAGTTGTGGTCTAAAATTGTAGCAAATTTAGTCTACTTTCAAAGCGTATTCATTATTTATTTTCGTCAAAATGGTCCTTCAGGGTTAAAATCGTCAAAAAAAGAAAAAAATCGAAAATTTCGCGGTTTTTTGTATATTTGACTATGTTGCGTTCGGCACCCGAGGTCGAAAACTTGGATTAGAGGTATATTTAGTCCAGGCTATATAATATTTTTGTATGAAAAAAATTAGTTACCGAGCGAAACCGGGTTTTTCAGGCAGGTGGAATGAATAGAATTTGGGAAAAAATAATTAAAACAGCTGAATTTTTCCGCGGGTGAAATCACAGGGGTTGAAAGGGATGGAAAGTGGTATTTTGCAAATTGTGGTAAAACTATTGATTTTAGACGAAAATGTTAAACGTAAAAGTTATAGAGATTAAAAAAATGAGCAACTTTTGTATCTGCACTATTTTCACATAACCTCCAATTTTCCTAGAAAAACCGGAAAAACTGTTTTTTTTCGTTTTTTATTCTTATTTTTGCGAAAAAATGTCGTAGGGGTTTGAAATTTGGAGGTAACATAGCCTGTTTTATGATAAAACAGAAGCCGATTTCTGAAAAAAATCACCTATTCTTCAAGGAGATGAAAAATCTATTTTTTTTCATCGTACAGAGGTGCGCGGGGTAGCAAAATTTTCGGGAAGACATATTTTAATAAACAAAAATAAAAAATACTATTCCTATAGCAAAAATTCGAGAAAATACCCAAAAACCGGAAAAACAGATTTAAGATATACACGGTTTTTGACATGATAAATCAACATGTTGGATGTTAATAAAGATTTTTTCGAAATCTGTCTTCTTTCTTCTCTTTAATGTTTGCCTAATATTCTCTTTTGTTATCTTATGCTCAACTGTTTTAGTGAAAATATCTTTATTATTTCTTCTTTCTGCACAATAAAAGAAATTCGAAGTAAAATCGAATTATGTATCTTGCTTCCTGATTCTTGAACAATTTATTTTTGTTCACCGACTCTTCTTCCTGCTTGTTTTATAGCTGATGCAATTGCGTTGGGCCTGTTGATAAACTTGCAAAATCTGCAATAAGAACGTTGGTTTTACCGGCCAAAAGCAAATGATTTGAGATGTTAAACCTGCAGGAATAAACCTTATGAGGATTTTATTCATAATTCCTGTAAATTAACGATCAACAGGCCCAGCTTAATCCCATCAGCTGTAAAACAGGCAGGAAGAAGGGTTAGTGAACAAAAACATATTGTTCAGGAAGCAAAAGAATTCGAATTTACTTGAAATTGTTTTTATTGCGGTAAAAATGCAGAAAAAAGAAACAATAATGATGTTTTAATTAAGGCAGTTGGGCACTGGGAAACAAAAGAAAATATTTTAGCAACATTAAAGAGGAGAGAGAAGACAGATTTCCAAAACTTTTTATTAGCGCGGATCCAACACGTTAATTTATTAGCAAAAAAGCTTATTTACCTACTGTCAAAAACGTGTATCTTAAAACTGTTTCCCCCGTTTTTGCCGCTTTTCTTGAAATTTTTCTATTGGAATAATATTTAATATTTATTTTATTTCACTTCAGTCCTTTCATATCACTTACTAGGTAGTACGCCCCTGGCGCTGCTACGTACCGCAATTTTAAAGCTAAAAATAACTAAAAGAAGAAAAACCTCTCCCCGTATTCCCACCGTTGGCCCGTGACGGAACATACTCATTCTGCCTTTTGCGCTGCGCGTGATAAGTTCGTTACCGCTTTGTGTACGTCGCTCGTAACGTAAGTTCTCTAATCTATTTACTTTTAGTTTTGTTTTTTAGAAATGGAAGAGAGAAGCTTTAGCTCGTCAGATAATGACGAGGCGTTATCCGTTTTAGATCGTCTGAAACGTTTGGAAAGACGGGAGAGAAAATGGCGTAGAAAACGTTCTAAGCGTAAACATCGCCGCAATTCTCGATCTCCGTCGACTCCGGACGAGATCCGATTTCGTCGTTCTCGGTCGAGGTCTCGCCACTCACATACTCTGCAGGACCGGACTCGCAGAAGTTCGGCCTCAGATAATGAAAGTTTTCTTCACTCTGAGATTGATCTGCACGTTGATCAGACCCCAGGAGGTTTAACAACGGAGGAGAATAAAGAGAACTCACCGACTTTGGTTATTGATAATGACGTCGTTTTGGATGAGGATGTCTTAAATATTATTGGCGAAGATCCCGAAAAAGTTAAAAGTAATACTATTACTTTAAATACAGCTATTTGTTCCAGATGGAACAATTTTTTGCTCAATGGGGTACCAGAAAACGATTTAGCTTCTATAAAAAGGAAGTATAATTTAAACAGTAATCTGGAGTTAACCCTTCCGACAATCAACCAAGAATTGTCGCAAGTGACTAATTTAACAGTCCGGAAAAAAGACAGCTGCTATACTGATATTCAGTTACAGATAGCTCAGGGTCTTAATGCTTTAGGGTTGAGCATTTCAAATATTTTAAATGATCCAGACGGTTTATCGAAAGAGGTAAAAGAAAGTTTACTTTTACCTTTGTGGGATGCAGGCAAAATTTTTACTGACCTCTTCTATACTTTAACCAAAACAAGGCGCAACTTACTGCTTCCGATCCTCAACAAATATATGCGAGATTTAGCAGAAGGAACCACTGCCGATAGATCCTTATTTGGGTCAAATTTCGGAGAGTTGGTTAAAACAGCAAAAGTGCTCGAAAGAACGAGCAAAGATCTGCTACCTCATTCTTCGAACAAACCAAGGTTTAAAAGTCTTGTACCCAAGGGACGTGAGGGACGACAGAGGGGTCAGTTTACAAAATTCACTCCCTCGACGGAGATGGGAAACAGACATCGCCCGGCCCGATACAGAAGGGAATCGAGGTCAGTCCAAGGGCGCCCTTACAAAAATTTTCGGAATTAATTAACTCTAATGAAAACCAGGTACGTTTTGCTGGTAGATTAATTATGTTTTCTACAAACTGGGAACGAATCACTTCGAATCCGATAGTTTTGTCTTGGATATCAGGTTATCGTATCCCATTTGTTTACCCGCCAAGACAGGAACTGCCACCTTGTGTCCGTTCGTTCTCTTCGGAGCAGCACGCTCACCTGTTACAATCGGTCAACGATTTGTTAAAGTTGGGAGCTATTTGTGCTTGTACTCCACACAAAGATCAATACTTATCGGGTTTTTTTCTAGCAGATAAACCAAATGGGAAAAAACGATTCATCTTAAACCTAAAGCAACTTAATTTGTCGGTTAGACATTTTCACTTTAAAATGGAAGACTTTAGAACTGCTTCAAAACTTCTGAATAAGGGTTACTTTATGACAACCTTAGATCTTAAAGATGCATATTTTTTGATTCCAATACACATTGAAGATAGAAAGTATCTAAGATTTAACTTCAATGGAAACTTATATGAGTTCACGTGCATCCCCTTTGGTTTATCTTCAGCTCCCTTCACATTTACTAAATTATTGAAACCTATTACTTCTTGTCTACGAAAAAAGGGAATTCCCTGTGTTAACTACTTAGATGACTTTTTAATTTTAGGGAGATCTCATTCAGTTTGTTTAAATAATACCAGATTCGCACTACAGCTACTGGAATCCTTAGGCTTTGTTGTTAACTACAACAAAAGTTCTCTCACCCCGTCTCAAAGAAAACAATTCCTGGGATTTATCTTTGATTCTGTAAATCTAACTTTGGAATTGCCCTTAGAAAAGAAAATTAGAATTACTGATTCTATACAATTTTTTCTTCACACTAAAACTTTTTCAATTAGAAAATTGGCGAGAAGAACGAAATTTTTATTTTTGCTTCGTATATAAATTCTAAAGATAATTGGAGAGCGGACAAAGAATCTCGCTGTCGGTCTACAGAGACAGAATGGTCGCTAGCTCAATCCGCTTTTACGCAAATTGTGTCGAATTTTGGAGCACCAGAGATAGACCTTTTTGCATCAAAATTGAATCATAAGTGTTGTAATTATGTCTCTTGGCTCCCGGACCCGAATTCGATAGCAGTGGATGCATTTACTCTTTGCTGGAGCAACTTTTTTTTCTATGCCTTCCCGCCTTTTTCACTTATTCTTAAAGTTTTACAAAAAATTGTCTCCGACAAAGCTGTGGGAATTATAGTTGTTCCAAAGTGGCCGTCCCAATCTTGGTACCCATTACTATTAGAATTATGTGATGGCCATCCTATGACTTTAGGTCCAAGTATGAATTTACTGACTTCTCCTTTTAGGGAAACCCGACCTCTTCCGAGGAACCTTACCCTGGTAGCAGTGCGTTTATCAGGGAAGCGTTAAAGAGACGAGGAGTACCGGATTGCGCTTTGGAGGTAATGATTCATTCGATATCCCGATCAACGGAAGCGCAATATAACACTACTTACAAGATGTGGTGAAAGTTTTGTCAACTCACAGGAAGTTCCTTGTTCTCTTCGGGACCGAAAGAAGTAATTAAATTCCTACACACTATTTTAACAAGAAAATCCTGCGGTTACGGATCATTTAATAGCCACAGATCTGCACTTTCTCTTATTCTACCAGGAAATGTTGGAGAGGATATTCTACTGAAGCGTTACCTTAGAGGCATAGCAAATACTAGACCACCGAAGCCAAAGTACACCAACACATGAAACCCACATCCAGTTTTGAATTTTCTCTCGAATTGGTTCCCAAACGAGAATCTCACTTTGAAACAATTATCCTTAAAATTATTAATGTTACTTTTATTAACTACTGGACAAAGGTTAAATGCAATTGCTCTAATCAGAATTGAGAACATTCGGGAATCCCCATCAGGATTCCAAATTTTTATTTCTGATAAAGTGAAAACTACAAGGGTAGGGAAACCTCAACCCTACCTTCAAGCCTTCTACTTTAAGGATTTACCAGCGTTATGTGTAGGTAGTACGTTGAAAATTTTTCTTCAGCGTACTGCCCCCCTTAGAAAAAACAAATCCTTCTTATTCTTATCTATTAGAAGACCACATGGGATAGCTTCAAAGCAAACTTTGAGTAGGTGGGTGAAAATGGTCCTACAAGATTCGGGAATTCCAACGGACCTATTTAAGCCTCATTCTACACGCCACGCGGCTACTTCGGTCGCCTTTAGGCAAGGAGTCTCGGTGGACGGCATTTTTCAATCGGCTGGTTGGGGAGAAGAATTATTTTGTTATTAAATGCAACTTCAATGAATGCTTTAAACATCTACCTAGTAAGTGATATAAAAGGACTGAAGTGAAATAAAATTATACAATCAAACGAACTTACCTTAGTGAAGTTCGATCGTAATTTTATGAATCTTCAGTCCGAGATATCACTTCCCACCCACCCATGTGAACCTGTTCGGTTCCCCTTCGAAGTTGCAAGGGCTTACTTTAAAGAAATGAATATGTTCCGTCACGGGCCAACGGTGGGAATACGGGGAGAGGTTTTTCTTCTTTTAGTTATTTTTAGCTTTAAAATTGCGGTACGTAGCAGCGCCAGGGGCGTACTACCTAGTAAGTGATATCTCGGACTGAAGATTCATAAAATTACGATCGAACTTCACTAAGGTAAGTTCGTTTGATCGTATAATTTTTGATTATTAAAATGTAAATCTTTAAAAAAACACCCCGCATAGTAATTAATGCAAAATAACGTTTTTTGGCAGATAACTTGCACGTTAAGTTTGACGTTTGTTATACATCACAGGGCCGAATACCCCTGTTTGTTATCATTGTCAGCGTTATCTAAATTAATAATTTAAAAAACTAATTATACTCTTTTGACATTCCCGATAACCTTTCTTTTCAAAATTGCAGTCTGTGTTGTAATTAGCAAATCAACAAAGTTTTCAAAATAGATTGGATAATAATGTAATAAGAGAAAACAAACACAGTACGTCAACGAACGGCCTTATTCGTTATGAAACTCGATAACCGAAGGGTGTTATTGTAAATATTTACAGACGAATTGACGTACAATTAGCAATGTATTAAAAAGCAACCGCAGAGCACTGATTTTAATAGAATGAGTAACAATCAAACGTTAACACGTTGAACAAACACAATCAGTAAGAATTTGTAACTATGGGTCGTTAATTTCGTAATAAAGATAATCTAAAAATTTAATTGAATAAGTTTAATTTGGGTACACACATCACGTAAGCGAATTACGTGCCGATAGTTTTAACAAGGCAAGGTTAAATGTGTTTTGATATGATGTTTACGGGACTAATAAAGCTCAATTTATTCAGTTAAGTTCATTGTAGTGATTAAGAAGAATAAGTCGATGCTCCAGTAGTTGCTGTATATAAACAATGTTGCGAGTCGCCGCCCGAATTGTTTCAAACAATAGAAATGGATTATCGCCATTTGTTGATAGGTGCCAATGTTATTCTAGTGAAATTAATTTACCCTCGCAGGCGGACGTAGTAATTATTGGTAAGTTTCGGACATTACGTAATGGTGCTTATAAAAGACTGTAGGTGGAGGCAGTATAGGATGTAACACACTTTATCAGTTATCCAAGAAGGGCGTGAAAGCAGTATTATTGGAGAGGAACAAAATTACGAGTGGCACAACATGGCATACGGGCGGAATAGTATGGCGTTTAGGGACTAACGATGTGGATATTCAGTTGTTGGCGGCTACCAGAAACCAACTGCTTAAATTAGAAGAAGAGACCGGATGTAATTCCGGGTTTGTTAATACCGGAAGTCTATTTCTCGCTAGAAATAAGGTGATGAGTACTATTTAATCCGGTCGCTACAGTTTGTGATTTTAGGAACGTCTGAAAGAGTACAAGCGTATGCATACGATCGGGTATTACTTTGGTGTTGAAAGTCAACTGTTGTCAGCTTCAGACGCGGCTAAAATTCATCCCTTACTTAATCCAAAGAGTTTCGTTGGAGCGTTGCACAGTCCAGGTGATGGGGTCGTCGATTCCACAATTCTTTGTAATGCACTCACGAAGGGAGCAATTAATAATGGCGCACAAGTAAGTGACAACTGTAAAGGTGGTCGTTAAACATTCAGTTTTAGGTCATTGAAAATTGTGCTGTAACCAATGTCAAAGTCGACTCCACATCGGGTTATAAGAAGGTTGTCGGGGTTGAAACTCAGCATGGTGTAATTAAAACAAACTGCGTGTTGAACGCCGCAGGTGCATGGAGCAGAAATATTGCACAAATGGTGGGTTTGGACATACCACTTTTGCCCATTCAACACGCGTATGTAGTTACTGAAGGTATTCCCGGCGCAAAAGGTGCCCCGAACATACGCGATAAAGACGTTTCAATTTACTATCGATCTCAAGGCGATTCCTTGTATATAGGAGGATATGAAACAAACCCTCACATTATCAAAGATGTAAGTCAAACCTTTGTAATCTGAAAAAAACTCGCTTAAAAACTACTTTAGCTACCTAATGACTTCGCCTTCGGCCTTTACGAATTAGACTTCGGCCTTTTCGGCGTACATATGGAAAAAGCCTATGATTTAATGCCAGCGGGGAAAGATGTTGGAATCAAAACCAATATTTGCGGTCCCGAAAGTTTTACACCGGACCACAAACCTCTGTTAGGAGAAGATCCAAAGTTAAGAGGTAAGAGAGTAAAGATCAAATTATCACCACAACCGCGGACAGTATGAGATAATTAAGGCTTAATTTAGAATAAATTTTAACTTTAAGATAAAATATCAAGCTATTGCAGTAATTTCCAAGCTCTAGTTCTGTAAAAAAATGTTTCATAAGGTCACTTACAACATCTGCCCCTGACTTTTACTTTTTTTTGCAACTTTCTCATAGTATCTCGTTGAATCATTTTGGCGGTGTAAAATTAAAGCAGATATTTTTGGCACAGCCGTCACTTAGGGATTTGTGGTGCAGAAATAAACATTATTATGGGGTATGAATGACCCTGGCGCCGTACGGGTGACACATACGTAAGTCTCACTTTGACGTTCATTGGGTATAATGTTCGTCATCTGGTGGTACTAAATGCGAATTTCAATCCATCCGACTGGGCTAAACCACTCTTTAGAGTCAATCTGTGCACTTGAAAAGTTTTTTTCCCAATACTAGTTTTTAATTAGCTACAAGGTTTCTCAAATTTAATCCACTTTACCCTTCTCCAATGTACTGTTTTAATAATCAGTTTATTTTTTGCAGTTGTTAGATAAACTGTGATCTAGTACATTCACTCCGTACTATTCATTTTTAGTGGCCAATTATAACATTAATCCAGTCACTAGACCAGTAAATTTTTGCACATTCTATGGACGGAATCGGTATAATGTGTCTTCAACAATTTCAAATCTATACTTTGTAGTGTTTATATTTGGAACTGCTTGGTGTATCATTAATTAGTACTGTTTCAGTTGTAACCAGAGCAAGGGAATGCAATACAACACGTCTTGTTGTTTAAGGCAGCTTTTTTCCTCCTTGGGTTGGGCTATATCATTTCTACGTACGTACTTTGACCTTTGGATCTATTGTGCGTGCCCCAGTATCTTACTCCCAGAGAGACAGTTTAAGTTAAAATATCTGAGGATCTTCTCCGGATGTAACTCCCTGGTTTGCTGAGGTGCTATTGCAGCCCCACCCAGGTCTTGTAACCACTGTCCGGAGACAGCCTCACACCAATAGATGATGTGCTCCGCTGTTTCTTACTCCGCGATTTTGTTGAGATGATATCTCGAGGAGCAGTGTCCAGGGACCACGCCATGCATATGACCCTAGTTCATTTCTACTGAGTGATAGCAACGAACTGAGAACTGATCAGTTTCTTGGAATGTCTTAGTCCAGGGGCAGATTCCCATAGACGTTTCCACTTCTTTTCGAACTGACTTCTTATCACTCCTCCCAACTAAACTTGCTGGTGCTCCACAGTAGGATTCCAGTCCGATTTGGGTATGGTTGGTGCCGGCCTTAGCAAGGTGATCAGCCTCCTCGTTACCAGCTATCTACTCATGGCTTCGCACCCATACTAACGTAACACGTGGTTACAATTCTGAAATGCGGTTCGTGTACGGCCGCCCTAAGTCTTGTTCGCCTCGTAATTGTTTAATTGTTTGTATGTCCTGGTGCACTTTGATTCCCCGAGCGAGTAACCAATCTTGCATTAAATCACACAGAGTGGCTCTTGTTTGCCCGTCACCACAAATGCTAGGTCGCGGTCGTTTGCATACGCTATGCAGCCAAAGCCTTGACCGACTAGGAAGCTTACCCGTCCGTTCATGACTAACTACCAGAGGGGAGCGGAAAACCCCTGCTCGCGGCCACAAGGACTCTCCGATCCCTATCTGGTTTTAATCGCCCTGCTTTCTAACATGACTTTTATGAAACGCCTAGTGCACAGGTCGATATCCTTGTCTCTTGCTGCTTCATCAATGGAATCATAAAAGGGGCAGTCCCTCTCAATGCGTATGAGGAAGACTAAGGTCGGTTGTTCAGCGTGCTTTTCTCAATCTTAGAGATGAGGGTATAAAGGGCCGGTCTTCGTAGAGCGTCCCTGTTGGTTGGTGTGAAGGGCGAACTCTTCCCTTATGTATGGCCCTACTATTTCTACATCGTTTTAAGGACGAAGGGCGATAGGCTGATAGGTCGGTAGCTTTTAGGTAGTTGGTAAAACACATTTTCACACAAGTGGCTATTTCACTTGCGCCTCTCTTACCTTAAAATTCCGGCCAAACAGCACTACCTTTGCTTATTTGCCACATTAAAACCTGTAAGTCAAATGTAGCACGCTTTCGCTTATAAAATTTCGGTTTAACGTGAAACAGTGGGCTATACTAAACTGCCTCGAGGTCAAGGAATTTCGGTGTCTTGAGATTCTTCGTAGCGGTTGAATCGGTTGGGCATACACCTTCGTAACTTCACTGTAACTTACCATAGAATTGAGCGCCACCCAACTTCTTTAAATGTTTAACTCTTTCCGTATAAAACTGGGACGATACAAGGGAAGTAATAATGAAATCCAATATGGGAATACTGAAATATTGTTCTTCAATAACAATCAAATCAATAAACCAAGTAAATTTAAATGTAACTATCCCTATTGAATCCCTAATACATCTCCTAACTCAATAGAGTAAGTGAATTGCACAACAGTTCCCAAAAAGTAAAACCCAACAATTGTATCGATGTTGAAAGTACAAGTAAGAATACAAAAAGAAATCTTATCTTGCATCTAATTTCGCTGTTGAAAAAGAGCGCTCTCCTCGGACGAATAACAAACAACCAGAAAAACACCAAATTTACCGAGATAAGCCTCGATGATGAATGAATTGATTGTATGCCCGAAGGGCCTTAGTCTACTTGTAAAACCTCAAAATCGTCTACGTTAACTATGGACAACTGTTAGAATTAAAAAAAGCAAAAATATATGTTCAATCGCCAGAATAATTGTAATTGGAAATTGAAATTAGAACCTCATGTTTTTCACCTTTCAGTCTGCTTTACGTGTCACAATAAGGTGTGCTTGTACTCGAATGCCGGAAAAAGAAATTGCTTGCGCGGAAAATCCACCGACAGGTGACGCCAGTAAACGCAGACAGTTAAAATCTAGGTTAAAATTTCAGTATGTCGGAGAATCTCAAACAATTATTTACAGTGACCGGCAATCAAAAATAATCAATACTGACATGAGAAAATAGCACAGTTCAAAAACAAAGTATTTGCATTGTTACGATTAAGAATTCCTAACTAACTGTTTCATTTTAACCTAAAAATGCATACACCAAAGAAAGCAGGATTCGTGGTTTTATTTTACACATCGAAAGCATTCAGTAATTTCCTAAAATTTCTAAAAGTAAAATGTTACATAACGGAGCTCTAATAATAGACCAAGATTAATTTGTTTTGCTGTTGCTACACATGTAACTTAAGATACTAATCCTTGCCAGGGATCTGTGCCCCTGCGTCATCATTTATATTTTATGGTGTAATATGAAAAAAGCTAGTCAAATTATGTCCGTAATAATTATATGTATAATATCCTTGAATGATAATGTATGCTCAGAGATGGCGGCAGCGGCGCTAAAAATCTTCTTGACATTACGAAGTTTTGTTATGCTGTGAATTATCTGACGAATTTGTAAAGCGCAATTAATGGTCGGCAAAATATCTTAATCTGCGCCTAATTTGTAAATATCCAAGAAATTGCCTTACTCTAATTAAACTAATAATCAAAACAGTGTCATGTCAGTGTCATGTCAAATGAGTATCCAATTTTATAAACATGAGAAACAGAAGCCACCTTATTTTCATCGGTGTTCTCTTTTCACCGCATTGAATCCATTAATAGCGTACGTCGAACGCGTGAAATGCACTTTATTTATGATCTATCCTTGTTTGAATTGCGCGGTAATGAAATGACATTATCAACAAGTTAGATGTTGCTTGATTCGTACGTTGATGACGCAGGGGCACAGATCCCTGGCAAGGATAGTAGTAACTGAAGATCATAGCTTCTGCAGAGTTTGAAACGATCATATCTGTGCCGTCACGTTGAACGAGAATATTTTAAACGGTCATTTATTATTATACCGTTGCAATCTAACAAGACGAGGTATCTTGATTCTACAAACAAACAAACTTTTATGATTCACACTGTGAAATTACTGTAACGGATTACCGGAGGACACAAAATAGCGTATATACCATAGGACTAAAGTGCCTTTATTTTTGAGTGGGCGTGGTTTCAGCCAAGGCTGTTCTACCAACCCAACCGACTATACATTTACAAATATCCATGTCCGAACCCGGATTCGAACTAGGGACCCTTAGCACCACAGTTCAGCTTTAACTGAACTGTGCCACACGGGCCACATCGCCCTTCTAATATGACGCCTTCGTTATCATTTAAAAGGCATGTTAAATCGTGTTGGACCGGAGTTTTACAGTAATTTGTAAATACTCCTAGCAAGAGTGTGGAGTAATTCGAGTTGGATCCTTAATCATTAGCACAAAGGTTGAAGGTGTCGATGAAGGATGCTGCTATATAGGAATCGAGCATATTAATATTAAAATCTCCAACACACGTTGGGATATTGAGGTAGATTACCGCTGCCACTTGGCCTCCTGATTAACCAATTGTCAATTTCTCATAAAATGAAGTTCCATCCATAGCTGTTCTATTCCCACGTTGGGTGGTCAACATTGTTAGACAAGGAACGCATATCTTAAAGCACATCTTTAGTTTTGTGTAGCTTGAGAACAGGGAGTTACTTAGTTTTTTTTTCATTGACTACAATTTTAGGCTAACCACGAACATATCGAATATTTCATTTTTCCCTGATTTTTTGGCAATTCTAACCCTTCACGTAGTCTTGATCACTGCTAATTGTGAATTCCTAGCCAGAAGGTAAAATCAATTTGAGTATCACTCATTTGTGGATATTAACTGAAAGCAGGTATCAATCCCTGAAATTATACGTTATGACCCCATTTCCAGGGAGTTCGTAGAACAAGTACTTTTCATTGCTGCAAACACATATTTGAATAAAACGTACATTGTTTTAATAAAAGCACGATTTGTTTGTAGGTTTCTATTACGCTTGCGGTTTAAATTCGGCGGGAATGATGTTTGGCCCAGGCATTGCGGAACAGATGGCCCATTGGATTGTCAACGGTCGTCCAGAACTGCCCATGTTTAACTACGACATACGTAGATTTACGCCGGAGATGAAAAACGATAGAGCTTGGGTAACGGAGAAGTGTCACGAGGCGTATGCGACGCATCACGGCATTGGGTTCAAACACACTCAACCATTAGCTGGACGCAATTTCAAAATTGATGTGTTTCACGAGGTTTGCTAGCGGTTGCTAACGATAAAGATGCTTATGTTTGAATTGTATCAGATTCTTGTTGCAAACGGTGCGGTCATGGAACAATCGCAGGGATGGGAGGTGCCAGGATTCTATATAAAGGATAGTACGGCTCCGGTTCGGGTATATGATTGGCATGGTTTTTACGATCACGTTGATAATCCTGACAAACGATACGAAAAACAATTGGAAGGGGACTGCACCTTCGAATTTTCCAAACATCACGATTTGGTACACTGAAGGTACTCACAAAAATATTTCTAATATGGTGCCCTTTTAGATTGGCCACGAAGCGCTTGCAGCTCGTACAAACGCGGCTTTGTTTAATACCTCGTATTGTTGCAAACTGTATCTAACGGGCCCTGATGCACGAAAAGCAGCCGATTGGCTATTCACTGCACACACAGATCAAGAGCTCGAAAAGATTGTATATACTTGCGCTTTGAACAAGAACGGCGGGACTGAAGGTGACGCCACAGTCATAGGTTTAAATCAGGGCCTCGGTACTTTAGTAGGACCAATTCTTAAGGTAAACCCCTGCACTGGGTTCTTTGCGGTCTAGTAACATTTCACGTTTAGGGTAGAGGATATTATATTGTAGCCAATGGTTTATCAGGGTACCACATGCTTACTCACATTAAGAGGGAAATTCAAAAGAAGCAGTTTAGAGCCACTGTTACTGACGTTACAGATAATCTTGGGATACTATCCATTCAAGGTCCAAAAAGGTGAGTTTTTATGACTTTTACCTTCCTCTTTTGACTTCCGTCAATTTAGCCGAGAAATTTTGCAAGCCATCACCGAATCTCCAATCACCAATGAGAAGCTACCATACGGGATGTCTGATATTATAACCGTTAATGGTCACACGTGTAGAATATTGAGGATCAGTTTTGTTGGAGAATTGGGCTACGAACTGCATATTCCATATTCCTCGTGCATCCCGGTATATAACAAACTAGCTGATGCTGGCAGAAGCTTTGATATGAAACTCGCCGGTTACCGTGCAAGGTACTCATTGCACTGTGAAAAAGGTCATCATCTGTGGAACAAAGATTTAAGATTGGATGACAATCCAGTGGAAGCCAACCTTCATAAGTTATGCAGAAACGAGGGTTGTTATTTAGGAAAAGATCACGTAGATAGGCTAAAGAAGGAAGGCGTGGATAAAGTTAGAGCGTTTTTTACGATCAAGGATAAAATTCCGTTGTGGGGTTACGAAACAATCTGGAGAGACGACCAAATTGTTGGATATTTACGAAGAGCCGAATATGGATATTACTTGAAGTCGAGTATTGGTACCGGGTACATTAGGCATCCCAAGAATAAGAAGGTTACAGAAGAATATTTATCGAAAGGGCAGTACGAAATCGAAGTGATGGGTAAACGATATCCAGCTACCTTGCATTTAAAGAGTCCTTTTGATCCTAAACACCAACGAGTTGCGGGACACTACGAGCACCAATTTGTGGAAGAAGTTAACTTTGAAGACTGACCGTTTAAATTTAGTTTAGTTTTTATTTCTTCTTGTACCTAATTAAATGTGATGAATTAAGATGTTAAAAGTATTGTACATTATGAAATTATTTTAAATATAAAACGATTCTAACCCAAAGATCCTTGCCTAAATCAAGGTCAGCACCATACGCTCTTCTACTGCAAATTAATTCAACGTGTTTTGTTATTCATTTAAGGGACTAAAGCGGCGACGCGACAGCACACGTTGAAATGTCAAAGACAAAAAACTGAAAAATCACCACGCTCGGGAATGGCGCCCAGATGTCGCCGACCCCACATCATGCAGTCCCTTCTCTAAATTCAAATCAAATCAAATCAAAAAACGTTTATTGGTTTTGGGTAGGGTTGACAGTTAATTGAACCATACACATATACATGATGGTAGCTGTTCAGTGTTCAGGCCTCAAGTGTCTTCTTCAGCCTGGAATTTACATTAAAGGATTATTACGCATAAGAGAGAAAAGGGAATTTAATTACAAAGTATATAAAAAAAGGATGTTGCTCTTCGTGGGGTACTGGATGCGTGCGACTGGGCGGCGGTGTGCTGAGGTGTTGTTGGTCTTGTAGGTGTGCTGGCTGCTATTGATAGAGGGTCGGCGCTGGAATCATGGTTATCTGAAATTTTAAAATTGGTAAACTTTTGCTTGTATGGTTGTTATCTGAAAATGTAAGGAGTGGAGTCATGGTATAGGTCGACTGGAAGGTCGTCAATTTGTTAAAGGAGCAGTGAGGGGGGAAATTTAAACTTCGTTTTGGGCAGTACTTATTCGCGGTATGTGTTGTTGTGTGTTGTAGCGAAAGTGTTACGTGTTTGAGGAATTTGACCGTGCATACGTCGTTGTGTGAATGTGGTTGGCAGTGCTGTGAGCTTCTGTGTGATTGGTGTGATGTTCGCGTGCTGTATTGTCAGTTGGCAAGGGTGTCTGTAGTGTAAGCTGTGAATTTTTCCCAGTATGCAATGGAGTGGAGTTGGGGACGGTAGAGGGAGGGGGGGGGGGCGCTATTGTTGGTAGATCGGTGGAGACATGTTCGGTGACCACGTTCCAATTGGGGTTTTCAAAGTATTTTCGTAAAATACGAGCAAGTGGCGTAGGTGGTGGATCGGTAAACCAAGAATTAATAAGCAAGGGTAGATGGTCTGAGGTAATCGATGTGCCTAAGTAACAGTACGTGTGGCTCGAAGAACAGTACGGGCGATTCCGTACATAGAATATGTCAATAATGGAGGTGGAGGCGCGATGGTTTTCACCACAGTGGCGACAGGTAGGGATGCGAGAAGTTGACGAAGGGTTAAGTACGCTAAGGTACAATCCATATACCATTAAACAATGGATTTGACATTACAGTTGGATTAAATAGCCGATCAAAAATTAATAAACAGAAACATTTAACGCGAGCAATAAAAAAGGATTTAATAATAATAATAATAATAAAGCCATCAATGCATTTGCAATACCAGTACTGACATACTCATTTGGCATAATAAAATGGACACCTACCGAATTAGAAAGCATTAATATTCTGACTAGAACACAATTAACCAAACACAGAAAACACCATCCAAACTCCTGCAAAGAAAGAATAACAATAGAAAGACAGAATGGTGGAAGAGGACTGATCGACATTCACAAGTTACATTTAAAACAAATAAAAACTCTTAGAGAATATTTTCACAACAAACATACATCGCTACATACAGCAATTACATCTGCAGACAAGAACTACACACCACTTAACCTATCAGACCACCAAGAGAGACAACCATCAAAACATGTTCAAACACAGCAAGAGAAACTAGAGAACTGGGCTCAGAAGAATTTACATGGAAGACATATACACATTATTAACAATGAACAAATAAACAAACAGGATTCGTACAGCTGGTTACAACAAGGCCAATTATTCCCTGAGACAGAAGGCCTTATCTTGGCAATCCAAGATCAAGTCATAGCTACCAGAAACTACCAAAAATATATAATCAAGAATACGGAATACAATAACGACTCGTGTAGGAAATGTCACCAACACCCTGAAACAATTGACCACATAATTGGAGGATGTAAAATACTAGCTGGCACTGCATACACAGATAGACACAATATAGCAGCCAAGATTATAATAGCCATCAAATACAATCTTATTACAGAACACACACCATATTACAATTACACACCAATCACCATACTTGAAAACACTAATTACAAACTATACTACGATATCACAATTCACACAGATAAAACTGTAATATGTAATAGACCAGACATAACATTACAGGATAAAAATCAAAATATTACCTACCTGATAGACGTTGCCATACCAATAGATGTAAATACAGTAAAGAAATACGCAGACAAAATTGAAAAATATACAGAACTAGCAATAGAAGTAGAGAGAATATGGAGGCAAAAGCAAGTACATATAATACCATTCATAATATCAACAACAGGAATCACACACAAAACATTTAAACAACATTTACAACAACTTGATCTAGATACATACACTCATCATCACATTCAGAAGGCAGTCATACTCAAAACCTGCAGCATCACGAGAACTTTCCTCAGAAATAACTAGCCAGACTTGACAATAGTCCGTTTGGCTAGGATTAGAACCGGCAAGACCGAGAAAATCAAATAATAATAATAATAATACTTTATTGGTGTAGTTGTTCAGCTTGGATCCGGGAGCTTTGATGTTATACTTTGCTTTTAGGGCTCTAATGGGTTCTTTCGCTTCCTCTTTTGCTTTTTTGATGATCTTATCAAGATTAGTCCCTCTGGTAACAAGAATTGTGATTAACCTTCTGAGATCTTGTTTAAATGCTTCGGGGTCAGGTTCCTTGTTGCTAATTATTTATTATCCTGGCGGAGACCAGCTGTAAGCTGTTTTTCCCAACCAGCAGAATTACAATTTTCTCGAAAATACTGATTGAAAATAACAAACATTAAAAAAAAGGTATACTATTTCAATAACTTGAGTTGTACGAGACTACATGAAAAGAAAATAAATGAAATCTTAGAAGAAGACGACAGATTGACAAAAATGACAAAATTTCTCCACGTGTGTACATATCTAAAAGAAGTATATAGAAGAATACATATAGAAAGATTAGGTAACAGAAACTTGCTATACTTAAAGGTCTAATTATTATTCATTGTAAATAATACTTTTTACTGTGCGTCTAAATTGATAGATATTCAATGATTTGTATTCATCAGGCAGCCTATTGTACAAACATGCAGACATGTAGGTAAACGAAGATTTGTAGCTTTGCAATCGATGTGCAGGTATTTGAATATAGTTTGTATTTCTGAGTTGACGATCATGTAAATCTTTCCGAAAACGTATTTTGGACTGTAAGTATGGGGGCACGCCCGATCTTATAATTTTGTGAATTAAACACAAATAGTGTAGGTATAGTCCTCCTATCGTTCATTCGGTAAAGATTCAATTGCTTGAGATGGGGTGTGATATGTTCTTGCCTATTTACGTTACTTACATAACGTACGCATGCGTTTTGAACTTTTTGGATTCTGTACGAGTCTGAATTTTTTAAACAAGGACCATACACAACATCACAATAATCAAATAGGGACAACACAAGGGAATTAACAAGTTTACGTTTGACAGAAAGTGAAAGAATATTTTTATATTTATAAAGACAACGAAGCCGACCATACGCGGATTGTATCAACTTACTTACATGCGGGGTGAAAGTCAGATTTTCGTCCAGTATCAGACCCAAGTTTTTGTGAACGGTTTTAAAGTTTATTACGTTGCTATCAATATGTACATCAGTTAGTGAAGAACTAATTCCCCCAAGCAAATGTTTCTTACCGATTAGCATTCCTACAGTTTTAGATGGATTTAGAATAAGAGAGTTGTTACTTGACCATTCAGATATGCGATGCAGATCTTCATTAATTAAGGCAGCTGTATTTGAAAGCTGATGTGGATAAAACGAATAATAAATTTGATTATCGTCTGCATAACTGTGGTACCGACCGTGGTGTACACATCTACCGAAGTCGAAAGTAAACAGGGAGAAGAGAAGTGGCCCTAAAATTGACCCTTGTGGAACTCCAGTAAATACTTGCATGGAAGACAGTTTATAACTAAAGAACTTACCTTGATTGATAACGGAACCGGTTGTTATGCGCTTACTCCTACAGTAAACAGGAAAAGAATAAAGATTTTCGTTGCGGTTACGAGGCCACTAATGGGTTCAATCTAGAGACAATACCTACCTGCAACAAAAAGATATGAATATACTGACCTCTTCAATGTTAATCCTTGCCTTATCTAATAATCAAAGTTGCTAATATATTAATCTGTGGCTATTATAGTTAGTGAAACCGGGTGTATAAGAAATATCATCAACCACAAGACACTTTGATTACTGTGTTGTATCTTAAATAAACATTATGTTGTAAGCTTTTTGTTCAATAACGTGCGACAATAGATTTAACATTAAATGTCAGTTTGTCGCAATGTTGGCGAACAGCTTAGTACTCGCAGTAGAATAAAGAAACAAATTCTATTATCATCCACATAAAAGTAGATGGATGCACAGCACAAGAAAAGGTAATTTAGTCATTAAAAGTACAAGAAGATTCCTCTGAACATTAAAGTTTGTAGAAACGCTATTATTTTTGAACCGTTCTTAAAGGAAGTAAACAGTATCTTTACTTTTTATATTCGGTTGTTTAAACTGTCTGCAACTTCCTTTGTGCACTGATCCTCACGGATTTGAGAAAAGCAAAACTAATTTAAAGTGGCGTAGTTTTGTTATTTTGTTTAGGGAGTTGCTGAAAAGATTCCTATTGTGACACTTAATACGTTTCTTTGCCATTGCGTTACGGTATACACTGAAGAGGATATTTCTAGCTAAAATACACAGTTATATGTGTTACCTTTTAAAAATGTTGCGGTGATGTAAGATTTGCTGCATGATTTTTGTCAAATAACAACATATTTATTTGTCTTTAGAGGAACATTACTTTTAACTTATATCCAAAAGCGTGAACATTAAATTTAAAATCCTAATGATAGTATACGGATGTAGTGCAATTTCAGACTATTCCATTGTATCGT